CATAATGCGCCCAAATGTGGACGCAAAGAAAGGCGGCGTGATTTCAGTAACCGCAGTTAGTGTTGAAGCAGCCATGTCAGGGAGCCGCTGTGTGTTTCTAGGCGAAAGCAAAAGCACTTTATTTGGCCTTCCGAAAGTAGATGCATTTAGGAATCTTTAAGATTACTTACAACAGAACAGCAATGCATTTTATGGACGACCGTTTCGTGAACCTAGGAGAGGAGGTAATTCTGACTTTGCTATGACAATCTGGCGCTTCTGAATAAGCTACTGTTTTGTTATTAGTTTAAGTATTTGCTATTGACTGTTCAAATGCGGAGTTTTGCGCACTGTGTGTGTGTGTGTGTGTGCACACTTAAAAAATCACTTTTTTATTGTGTGCACTCACAATATCAACAAAACGTTGTGCTTTTATAAAATAAAGGAATCAAACATGATGCGCTTTCTGCCGTCTTGTCTTGAACAGGAGCGCTTCACAAAAATGAACCGAAACTCAGTGAATGCATGCCTCACAGACATGATAAATATATCTATAGAAAGCTTTAAATTACTACTTAACGAAAAAAAAAAAAAAAAACAATATAATAATTTCATTATAATCATAATCCGTAAAATGGAAGCTTAGGCCTATCTCTAAAGGTGCGTCTAATGAGGAGATGGCGAGTAAGGATCGGCAACTTCATCCTTGCGACACCAACTCAGAAAACACAAAATGATTAGTAAATAATTCAAATATTTCCTTACTATTTCTCCCTGACATTCATGGTAATTACTTTTGCCGGTGCTTTGCGGCAAGCTTAAGCCTATTGCGTGCATTTGAACGCAGAACTTTTCAGCTGCACTGACGGCACGCACCATACATGCTGCTGTTGCCTCTTGACAGTCGCGTCAGCACGGTCTCGTGTTGTTTCCACTAGCACAGCAATTTTTTTTCATCACTAATTGATGGATGTCTAAAATATAAAAATATAAAAAGGCCTGACCCGCGTCTGATGTGAAAATTGACCCGAATCCCGGCCCGAGTGGTGTAAAAAAAGTTGGGGCCCGTTGGGCCTGGGCTAAAAATGCAGGGCTCTATCATTCATGCTCATCAAAACAGCAAAGTCCACTCAAAAATCGAGCCGACAGGAATCATCTATGTAGTATTGTTTCTGTTGCAATAGCCCTACTGTGCTGTAACATGGTGTGGTATATGGGCAACTCGTACCGCTGCCTTCTCATTCATTGATCTTCTAACCACTATGTTATGCTCACGTATTCTGATAATAATAGCTTTCTAAGACTAAACATTATCTGGATAATTGGTAAAAAAATTAAATAATATAAAATCTCTTAATAGCCCTACTGTTAGACTAGACTGAAAAACTAAAAAGCAATCTATTTCATTTTTAGGCATATCGTTATTTTTTATTTGTGCTATCATTAGTAATTTCTTTATTTGTTCTTATTTTATTACTAACTGCTTACTTGTCATTTTTTTTTATTCAATTCAAAGTTTGAAATCAAGCTATCTTGTGCTACTGCAACAATTACCCCACTGTAAAATAAAAAACACAGTGAGTGAGCAAAAATTTGTGAGATTTTAAAATGCATCTGATTACAGCGATGTGGATGTTGTATGAGCTCTGCAGTTCAGTACTCCAGTAAAGTCCAGTCCTGTCACATCACGTCACGTCACGTTTATTTATTTAGTACTTAAGCAGCTTTACAGTATTAAACATGAAAAACCAGAGTCAGTGTCGCTTTCAGTTAGAATTACAACTTGATTTTCTGTTATAAAGCAGCTCTCCAGTGTGGAGCTAGCTAATGATAAAATCTTTTTACTAGTGGGGGAAAAAAACATTTAATTAAAGTGATAGTTTGGTTTGCAGAGATCAAAGCTTGATCTAGCTCAGGACTGTTTTGATTATCATAATCCTATAAGTAATTTAAGAGATTGTTGTGAAATATTTTATCCAAAAATAATACGTCTTATCACTTAACCTTTTTTTTTCTTATCCATATGACTTACAAAAAGAGATTTTAGGCAGAATGATGTGTCAATTTAATGTCAAGCTCTCTGGTATTCAGGGCATGAACCATCAAGCTTGCCAGCACACAGGAAATATTAGGGACATGTAGACTTAGATAAAACCTAAAGGAGATTTTTCATGTGTTTTTGGAACCCACCTTGGATTCAGCTGTAAAACTGGACAGTCTGAATCATTTTAGGGATTCTGTTCATTTAGATGACAGCATTTTGCACATGCTTTTTGTTTTGTGTTATGACGGATTAGAAAATAAAACCCCTAGATTGGCCGTGTATTTAGTTCGATTTATTAGAAGCATTGTTTGTCGTAACAACATGCCTATTACTGTGTTTTTGAGTAATTTATATTGAAAGTGAAAGTACTGCCTGCCATAGTTTATTCACCCTTATGTTGTTTCAATGACTAGCTTTATTCTGTGAATCACAAAAGAATATATTTTGAAGAATGTTACAACAGTTTATGCCCATATAATGAAATTCATTGGACACTACTGGTTTTCACTGTATGGGATTTTTTATTTTCAAAATATCTTTTGTGTTCCACAGAATAAAGAAATACATACATGTTTGAAACAGCACGAGGATAAGAAAATTTTGGTGAACTGTTTCCTGAAATTTGTAACTTTTACGCCACTAGCATTACCAAATGTACTGTAATTGCAAAAATATTGTTTTTTTACAACACTCCCTCCATTTGTCTTTGGTTGGTCAAACAGAAGTCCCGCCCCAAACTTGGTTAAGTTAATGCTAATATATCAAGCGGGTCAAAATGCGTGAAATCAATTAACAAATTACTTTGCTGTCTCTGTATACTAAACTGGGATTGGATAAAGTATTAAGCATTAAGTTACTGCAATCTCAAATGCAGCGCCCACTGTATACAGATCACATGATCTTCCATTAGTAGACATCATTGCCCATTTGCATAAAGTTGATCAAGCATTTTGATCAAACCTGTTGCATTGCCAACAGCTCATGTCAACCCAAATCTCACTGAAATTAAATCACATTTGTCGCTGCAAAATTAAGTGGGAATTCCCCTTTAGTGATTTACAAAGACACTGGGAATCATTAAAAAATTATAATCATAAATCACTGAGTATAATTGTTAGTCAGCTGAAACTCTCATCTTTATGTCTGTTTGCATGTGCATCTCCATCAGAAAGACCTTAACATTTAATGACAAAGTCACACTTAAGAGTCATTCTAGATGACCAGTGTAGGACTTCAGCACAGTCCACCACTGGTCATATTAACCCAGTGGTCTGTCATTCTTTTATCTTTTATGTTTTGTTACCTTGTAGGGCTATATTGCAATTTAATTTGTCTATACTGCTCACTATTGCAAAATAGTCTTAAAACCAACATGAAAAAGAATGGTGATGAAATTGTGGATTGTGATCTTGCCTGAAAAAAGCTGTGATATGATATTATTGCCATCTTGCCCACCCCTACCAAGCACACACAAGAATGAACATATATGCACCACACACATATGTTTGTAGACAAAAACACAAATGCAAACAGGCTTCCTGTATGCATCTGTACATCCAGATAACCCTTCCCTGCTGTGCAGTCTCTCTCTCTGAGCTGAATCCAGGCCAGCACAGCTGTTATTATTAGCCTGACATCCCAGCTCTGCCAGCTCCAACAACCCACAGTCATCACAAACTACTTACCTCTATCAGCACTGTGTGTGTGGTTGTGTGGGAGTTTAACTGCTAATACAACAATTTGATTACAATTAAACCTTGAAACAGAGGCAGTTCTGCTCACTGAATTGTAGGGAAATGTAATAGACACTAAAAGGTTGGTGAACAGACTACAAAACATTGACAAAACTATTTAGAAACTATTTAAAACTCTCTGAGGTGTGTTTTACATGAGATAATATAATCGACATTTTCCATTTTGAGATTTCGGAATAGTGCCACGTACAGGGAATACAACGAAAGACCAGTGGGATATTTATGAAGAAAATACATTTGCTCACAGCCACGAGAATGGCAAAACAGCTATCAAACAAGTAACTTTTGGTTGTTTGCAAACTTTTGAGAGTGATTTGCAATTATGATATATTTACTCAACAAACTAAGATAAAATTTAAAGTGTGCTGAATTGAGACATCTCAAAAGATGGCTACTGCTTTCAGTCCCTGATGCAGTTCATGGCAGGTTAACTGTACTTTCACTATTGCAAAGTCCAAATAGGTTACCATATATAATAGTCATGACACAAAGAGGAGCTAATAATTTTATTTCTATATTGAGATGACAGAATGAGGCACATATTAAAACTATGCACAGACCCTCAGAGGTCTTTCTTCAGTGTTCAGTGCAAATTAAAGCTTTAACTGGACCACCTTGCAATCCTGTGTGAAACTGATATGACAATACAACAGAAATTGTTCAGTCTCTAAATTACATTGTTCCATGTGCAGTTATACCAGCTGGTTATAAGCAATGGCTTGTTGGGTATCGTACGAAAGGTCTGATACAGTTTTCTCCAGCTGCATCACCTTTCAAAGGATACCCTGTTACCATGACAGCGTATGTTAGTGGATATCTCTGCACTAAAAGAAGAGTGTTCTCTCTATTCTACTGTCTCTCTTTCGATTATGTATTTTTTTCTGTGATTATTTCTCTGCATATATCACATTGCACCAGAACAGGCCAAAAGCTCATGTAGACTGGTGGAGTGCATTATGGTCAGTTATATGATATTGTGTCTTTCACATGGACATTTATGGGAGGGTGAATGCATTGATTTAGCCTCAGACGTGCAGATGGCCGACATACACACACAAACATGCATATGCTCACACACAGCTCCTCAGCCCTGTTATGATGACATTCAGAGCACAATATCAACCCAGCGTAATCTCTGACTCACACAACACCCATTCAGCCATAAAGGGCAACATCTGTGTGTTTGCGTGTGTGTGTGTTTATGAAAGATTGCTGAGTCTTACCTCCCCGTAATCGGTGGTGAGCACCAGGGTTCCATCTCCACAAGAGTTCACTGTAGACGGAACCAGCTGATCTTTATGATTCACCCACACTCGAGAACCCTGCAAAACACACAAAAGCAGTCAGACACAAATCAGCACAATCCCAGATTATATTTCCCAGTTGCTTGTAAGAGCCACAGAACAATAAAACACAACAATAAAACACAAAATCTTCATGTAGTCATTCACTGTCGAAATGTATGACTTTCAGGGTGACCTGTGGGTGGCTTTTCATTTACAAACACTCATAGATGCCCACACACAAAGCTTAGACACAAAAGATTGTTTTAGTAAATCCTACACCAACTTTAAAAAATTGTTTAAAGTAAATCCTACACCGTTTTTTTTTTCAGTGTACTGTACAGTGTTATTTACACTTAAAAAAAATACATGACCAAAAGAATGTTTAAAACCTTCTAAATGTATACTTCAAAGATCATCTCACCATCAGACTGGACAAGGCATAGGCATAGAATGACCCAACTACATTTCTCACACAGTATAACAGAATTAAAGGTACAATATGTAAGTTTTCACGAGGGCGTGTATTCAAAACAAACAAAGAAACAAAGGTGTAGTTTGATGATGCCGTGACTGAGTGTGGAATCATGGGAGTTGTCGTCTTCATCCACACAGCCAACGCAATCCGACGGGACTCAGGCAGAAATCATGTTCATGGATGAGCTAATGTATTAAAGATTTATTAACATTGTAGTATGAAGCAGAGTGAGGCGGAAAGCCGTCGAAGCGAAACGAAGCTGCTGAAGCAATTGCTAATGAGAGACGAGAGTGACACACGGCTCAAAAGCAGCGGAGCTTTTATTATGCCACACTTTAGAGCTTCCGCTCCTTCCGGTCATGCATATGTGGGGTAAAGCAGCGCTGTTTTATCATACTAGATACATTTGAAAGTTCTGTTATAATGCTACTCAGTGCGGTCGTCACCTGTCTATTAAAACACACAACATATTAAAGTGTCTTTGGTGTTTCCATGTTTTCTACAAAACAAAACCGGAAATCGAGGGGTTATGACGTCATTGGCAGGCGACACAATGACACTATAGACACGGTCCGTGTCACTAGTTAAAATTGCTTATTTCTCTGGATTTAAGCATTCTTTGAAACATTTGGGATAATGTAAGTACACAAGTCAGCAAAATATATAACACTGTTCTAGTGGTTTTTGGATATTTTAATTTAAAAATCTTACATATTGTACCTTTAAACAATCACAAATGAAGTATGAAAGGTTTTCAGACTAAGCAGATTTATCATGGGAGGTTTGTGCTTTACTGAATTTCCCCACATTATAATTTGTAAATGCAATAACACACAGCACAGTGGGCAATGATGTCATTTCGGATGTGTCCTCCTGCTCTTCTCCAGTAAAGTGCCATTCCATGTGAGCGCCGGACTGAATTATGGCCAGCTGTATGACTACTAATAATTGGGAAATGGATTGATAAGCCCTTAGCTTCAAAGAGGAAACTCAATACATAATCACCAGCTCCAACAGAAAATCACATATTACTTCCGGAGCATTAAATGACCCAGAAGACACATCCATTTACATTTCCAGTATTATTTTGTGACAACATTCTATTACTCACAGTATAAGAGGTCATTTGTCACAATGGTAACCTGCCAGAATTCACAAATATTATTCTACTTTATTAAAGGGGATTTTGAATAAGTGTTTGAAACCAACATAGAAAACCACTGCTAGACAACACAAGCATGTAATTGAAATTGAATCATTGGACATACATAAACTCACTCCTGCCCACAAACAAACAGAGAATAATTTGTGAATCCACCCCAAATCCAAAAACGAGTGTGAGTTTCCCAGACATGGACATTAGCCCTGCTGATTCTAAAGCAGATGACCTTCTCTACGACACATGAATTTCGAATTTCTGGACGATAAATAGGCAGACAGACAGGCAGATTGAGAGACAGACTGATGAACAGATAGAAGCTGTTCTTTGTCAACAGATGGTTGACTATGACGGGCCGTCCCACCTCCAGTCAGAGGAACTATAGTGGTGAAGACAAAAGACAGGCTGCTCTGCCCCTGGGTAAAGGAACCAAGCCATGCAGGCAGAAAAACACTCACAACAGACAGCTGAGCTATGCACACTTACACATTTCATTTCCATCAGAAGACATTAAAAGGAGAAACATCATGGAAAGCAAATTGGGGAAAAATATTCATTGTTCAATTCACAACACAAAACTCCCTCCACAGCCTATACAAACTATTTATTTAAACAAAAATGGGTTATTCAGAAATCAAATCATCACACCCATAACTAATATTACTGCCTATTCACAGAGACTATTATAACAAAGGTCATTTATATATAGACGGTACACTACCAAAAACAGCAATTGGTCTGGAAGAAACTGTGACAAGTGGAACAGAAGTAAAAATTTTTGGGGAAAAAATGCCATTGCGAATCTTCTAATACAAGTTTAATACAAGTCTTCTCACATTACATGTTTGGGAAGATGGTTGGCGCATGTTGCATCCTAAATGCACATTACATAGAAACCAAAACTCAGAGCAGATGTAGGGATGAGTTCGTATGGAATAGCATTTACTGTAAACCACGCCGCTCAAGACTTGGATGATAAGCTACATGCAGAGTAAATGAACACAGTGCCACGCCTCACTCTGGAACACACAGTGCATGCATTTATTCAATTAAATTGCTGTCGTCGCAATTTGATAATCGCACTAAGCCATATCGTGATTTCAGTTTTATTTCGATTGTGTGCATGGGAAGAAGTTCAGAAATGAAAAATGACTTTGATGTTTGACTTGTCTCTCTCTTAAGCGTTCTTCATGTTCTTATCAGGAACTCCTGGCTTTACACAGCTGCAGATAGCATCTCTAACAGGGATCAGGAGCTGCTAATTAGCACAGATGCAGAGGCTGTTGGTTTGTGCCGTTTGTGCCGATCTGAATGAACAAAACATTAATGAGAGCTCAGACCCTATATGGAGAGCAGGAGCGGGTAACCATGCATGAACACAACAGAGATGAAAGAATTCAACGTCTTCATCAACAGATAACTCTGCTATTGCTCTTGCACAGCTGTCATTAGAAAACGGCTTAGTTTGCTGAAAAATATAAAAGAAATATCCAACCACATGCATGTGAGGGAATAAGGAGAGCATGCTCTTACTGGAGAAGGTTACGCAAGAGGGTCTATATAAAAGATGCAGCCCCTAAGGAACTAGCAACATTAACGGCCTGACCACAGGGCTGCACGATTAATCAAAATAAACCCAGAATTGTGAAACGGACTAGCGCAATTATCAAATAGCAAAGGCTGCGATTTAATTAAATAAATACATGCACTGTATTGAAGCATGGCACTTTATTCTTATGAGCAGCTCATTATCCGCCACTGTTCTCAGCATTTCATAGCGACTCGGTTCTCAGTAAACGCTGCTTCCCACAAACGCCATCTGTGCATCTGCTCTGAGTTTGGGTTTGTTTTTTTGTTTTTTGGAATGCAAAATGCGCTAACATCTTCCCATACTTGTAATTTATACTATGTACTGTTTTTATTTTACAGTGAAATGTTGTTTTTATTTTGTTTTTATATTTTGTAATAAGAACTATTATTATTACTATTACTACTACTACTACTAATAATAATAATACTAATATTACTACTACTAATTATCAGGGGTGTGGACTCGAGTCATATGACTCGAGACTTGACTCGGACTCGAGTCCCAAATTTGATGCCTTGCGACTCGATATAATTAAAGGAAACTTGAGACTCGACTTAGAATTTGACAGCAATGACTCGAGACTTGACTTGGACTTGAGCCCTGTGACTCGGAAAGACTTTATGATCAGATCAAAGTTGTTATAGACGCATCCCTGCAGCATGCTTGCGCTTGACTGGCAATAAGCCAGAGACTGCGTTCAGGGAGCGCTGGATATATAGGCTAGTATAAATTAATGGAGTAATAGCATAACTTACGACAAAAGAACCGAGATAAGAAAAATTAAATTTGCATGATTTGTCTAGTAGCGATCTCCGTTCGTGAAAAGCGCTGCCCTGTCCGTTTGATCGCCGCCCAGCAGACACACAGAGCGGACATGAGAAACGAGAGGCGCAGCCACGATCACTTCACTGGTGCTCGCCTCATCATTACTGTGACCACTGCTGTTAAATATTCCTCACTTCTTCTGTTTGTCCGACACCGAGGTGCACCATGAGTGATGGAGCCACATCTCGGGCATCCCGCCACGACCCTCGCACTCTGCCAACTCGATGTGCTTTAATTTTGATTTTTATTTGTAATAAACATCTCTCTGAGACCTGTTTTTGTCAGATCTCCACTGTTTTTGTTCGATCAGTTACATATTTTAATTGCATGAGCATTTTATTTTATTTAAACCTCCATTAAGTTTAAAGTTAATCCATAATCGATATATAACCTATTATAACCTATATAACCTATTTTGGCACAATCCCTAAATTGAACTTGAGTAGTTTTACTAAGGGCACCCATCTCACATGAAATTGAACTATGTCAAACATATTCTACCTGCCTTCCTGATATAAATGACTATTAATTTGATATGGTAATTAATACTGAGACACTAAAGTGGGCAAAGAGCATTAATTACTTTTTTAAGACTTGAATCTTAAAGTTGAGGACTTGCAACTCGACTTGGACTTGCCTATCTTGACTCGGGACTTGACTTGGGACTTGTCTGTCTTGACTCGGGACTTGACTCGAGACTTGAATGCAAAGACTCGAGACTTACTTACAAAACAATGACTTGGTCCCACCTCTGCTAATTATTATTATTATTATTATATTATTTATTTTTTATTATTATTTTATAGCCATACAAATATATAATCACAAAAAAATTGCCCAAATTGTTAGCCTTACAATTTTTTCAATTTTTTACGATTTTTCTAATTAAATTGCATTTTAAAATGCAATCGCAATATTTATCAGGAAAATCTTCCACCACTATGTAAAATACAGCACAAAGATTCACTAAACCCATCAAGTAACTT